ATGTTCTGCTATTATTTGTTCAATTTCTTCTCTCTTAGACTGGAGTTCATCCGTAAGTTTTTTGACTTCCTCTTTGAGTTTCTTGACTTCTTCTGAAGTTGTTGCTTCCTAGAAAAGTTGTAAATAAATATGGGTTATTGACCAAGCATAAAGTCAAGATGGCTGGATATTGGCCAAGTTCTCTTTTATGTGTTTATGGACTGAGACAGAGTCGAAGTCCATAAACACAAAAAAAAGAATAAGGCCAATATCCAGCCATCTTAACCAAACAAACTTGGTCAATAACGCATTTATTAAATATGGAAAATTAGAACCATATTTTCTTGCGGGACACAGCAGGTTATCTCGAGTGGGCAAGATAGCCCCATCTTGCCCGCTTGGCTTATCAGAGTGCAGTATTCGGTTCATCTTGCCCACTCACAGAGAGAGTCATATAATGAACAGTCAATATCATTGACGTCTTATGAGTTATGCACCTGTTTTTGAGTCAAGTGAATGCTTTATTTTTTCTGTGCATCCATGTATAATGTCTGTGTGATGGTATGTAACTATCCTGAACATTACTTCAATAATTTTGTAATTAACTAGAAAAGGCATTGTAACAAAAAATTTGTAAAAAAAATAATAAACTTGTGTGTTGTTGTTATATGTTATATTTCAGAATTCAGGAGTTCCTATATTCAAGTTAGAACAATTGGCAGTTATTATTTTGTTTTCTGTTTTGTTAGTTCACACAAAATCCTGACATGGCAGATTTTTTCTGTGAACTTATACAATAGCTGAGGGCACAGCCTAAATTGCTTGGGGTAATTCTGATTCTTCTCACTTCCAATTAATTTACCCTAAAAAGGAGTAACACCAAATATAAATTACAGTGTAGAACATGGACTGTTGTTTACCTCTGGGTTTCCATCTTCACTGTCATACACGCGATTTAAAATTCTTCGGACTTCTGGTGACCTTGTGTGTTGACCAAGTTCTTTCTTCATCTCCCTTAATTGTAAAATCCTGTCATCCTTGAGTGATTGCAGCTCATTCTTAAGAGTGTCATTCTCTGTTACCACGGTTTCACAAAATACTTGCTTGGCATTCAAGTTTCTCTCAAGCTTTGTGACAAGTGCCGTTAGGCGCAATACTTGGTTTTTCAAACCGTCCGTATTTTGTCCCTGTACAGCATCCAGTGCAATCTTAAGTTCCTTTACCTCATTACTTTTCATATCCCGTTCATCTCGTAGTGTTATGATGATTTCATGTAGATCTCTGTTTTCCTAGGAAAGTAGAGGAATATTTTGACTAAGATTTTGTCGCTTCGTGTATAATTGAAAAACTGATATTGTTTGTGTCTGTAAAGAAAACATCACGTCATATTATTCAGGTTCCTGTTCAGCTGAACATTAGCAATCTTTATTTTTCTCCTGATCCTACAGATTAGGTTGCATTTTCCATCTCTAACTTCTTTCTCAGCTAAAAGTTCAGTTCAACTCTGTGCTGATTCCTATTTTTTGCCACGCCATAATTTTATTATCAGTTTTCTATTGAGGAAGTTGGTTTGAAGATTAATTGTAATAAACTATTAGTTATAAAACAGCACAACAGAACCTGTTCCCCCAAGAACTCGAATGGTTTATTTACGATTATCAATTAAAATAATGGAAAGTTGAAGCTTTCGCTTCCACCAGCATTTTCTTTGTGAAAATTTGCTTCGCTAAGGATTAGGCAATTTCTACAGAAAACAAAAGTTCTCATCAAACAATGATGTCAATCATGAAGTGTCGCGAACGTGCATAAACTCTCGGCAGTGAACCAATCGGGAGGTGACAGAGCAGAACGGGGAATCCCCTACTTCGATGAACAATACCTTATTCAAATTGCTTTCGGTTTCCAATCTTCAAAATTAGCATAGGGAAATGAGTGAAACACGTTAAATTAACTGACATTTTCTAATCGAAAGTACTTTCTATCGAATTTCAAGTCTGAATGCCGAGAACCTTCACCGATTTCTAGTAAAATAACATCATACGTGCTAATGTAAGTTATGCTTATCGAAGCAGATTTTTGAATTGCGTGTATCCGCCCTCCGGGGCACGCCGAGTCAATGTCGAGGGAAATTTCCCGAGATATAAAAAGAGCTTACTTGAAACGGAAAATGATTGATAACGCAAAAATTTAGCGAAAATATTTGCTACAGAAACATCACATAACCATACGTTTTTCTGAGTGTTTCAACTAGACTTGACATAATTCATAAAAGATAAGTCACAATGATTGTGCAAAACAACCCCGTCGATTCGCTACGCTTCGCGAGTTCCAAAGTTCGTCAATAAAATATCGCGCAAAGATTTGCAAAGCGAAAACCCAACTTTTCAAGCACTTACCACAGCCAAGTCAACTCCAGCCGGTCCTTTATTTGTCAAATGTTCCAACGCTTGTTTTAGTTTCGTGTTATCGCGAGTTAAAGCTTCCAAAACTTTCTTCGACACACCAGGAGTAACAACGGCGCCTATTTGAGCGCCCGACGGTAATTGAAGATTTAACTGTGTTATTCTGTTCTCTGCTCTTGCTAGAGAGCCTTCAAGCCGTTCATTTTTTTCTAGAAGAGTCTTGATTTGCTGCTCCTTCTTTTGCAACTGCAGTCCCAGGTTTTGAACTCCCGTTAGTTTCGACGCCATCTTCTTTCTATCAGTCACCATTACGACTAGCGACTGACGAAGACGTTGATTTTCGGCCAGGACGGCTTCAATATTTGCCTGTTCTGCCATTTTCAAGCCAGAAAAGATTGTAAGTTTCGACGAATTGCGGTGTTCGTTCTCTAAACTACCAAGTCAAGACTATTACTGATCGTCGGTTGACTTGGCCACCTTGCTTTATATCTCTGGACTATCACAGGGAAATTCCCTGCAAGGCAATCCATAGCGTGCATATTATCATGCGGGTAAAACCCGGGGGTCGGGTTAGCCCCGGTCGTCGGGGGCAACACGTAAGCTTTATTTTCAACAACTGAGAGTTCAGGTACTTTGCAAATGCTTCAAGTCAAATAGAGTATGCATTGAGTTAAATTTTATTTTTGTTCTACCGAACCTTTCTAAATGCCTCCTGATCTCATTTATTTATCAAATCTTTTAGTTGCAAAACTGCAGGCGAAAAGTTTCATGCCCGATCGCCCAAAGCGTCGTGTTTACATATCTCAATTTTCTTTTCTCTCTTCACTAATATAGGGAAATGGATCGTTCAAGTCATAATTATGAGAGTCTTCTACCACTGTAATAGAAAAAAAAAATGGTTGTAGAAAATAGAAGTTACACTTCACTCTTTAGTTGGCCAGCTGAATCATCGCTGATACTGAAGTGATATTGAAGTGTTTTGAAACGACTCTTCTGACCATAGTTAGCGATATTGCTAGTTCAAATTCTCCGAAATCTTCTCGCCATTTATCATTTGGAATATCACGGTCGAGATGCCGCAAAAATCGCAAATATTGCTGAATCTTATATTCTTGAAAATGTGCTTTATCTCGATGGCTTCAGTTGAAATGTTTCGAAAATGAAAAATAAAAAAAAGAAAAAATGTTTGTATCAAGGTAGAATTATGGGAAGTATCTGGCATTACAGATTAAGACTAAAATAACATCCAATCAAATTATGTATTATATGCACGTGACCGTGATTAAAATCCTCTCTTAAAAATAGATTTCAAGACATTCAGTCTGCCTAGCTGTGGATTCTCTTAGTATAATCCTCTCTTAACTTTGGTAACAACCAAGCGTTTGTCCACAACCCATGGGCTGTATGATTCTTATATGAAACTAGACAGAAGTTATGGTGCAATTATAAACTCCCGAAGCAACTTATAACATCACACCCCGGTTCCCCGTTGTTCATAATGCAACATCCCAGTTATTCTAATTTCCGAGTTTCCGTCATTTCTTTTACTACGCTCAGAAATACGCTTTTGTAAGTTCTTCAAAGTCCTCGGGAAAACTTGGGCGCAAAAAAAAAAAAATAACCCTCAAATTCCGCAATTCAGTCATTTTTGGACAAGTGTAATCCCCAAAATTTCACTTCCCTGTACTATATATAGGGTCTGTACACAGGCGCCAGGGAGAAGAGTCTCCTCTCCCCCCTGGATTTACCCAACTCTTTCCAGTATAGCGTTGGGACTGGACCACCGCTGTTTGGGAAACAAGCTCGCCCTCCTCCTCCGAAGCCCCGAGAATTCCACGTGAGCTCACAGTGTTAAAAAAATCGTTAATCGTTGCAATGGGTCCTTGATCCAAAGTTTCGGAGAAAAGTGCAAACTGGCGAATTAAAGATTGCAACAAAACAACGCCGAGGTCTATGCTGCAGGCGTTGGTGGAACCGTTCACTGTTTTCAAACCCAGCTTTACAAGGCTTGTTTTATAAATTATGTTTGCGTCGCTTGATATGCGGAAACATTTTGCTTCCAGGCTCAGTACAGTCAGGCAGTGATAATCGAGATCCGCACGATACCTAACGGAGGGGTTTCTCCAAATAGCTTCAAGACACTTCGCATGACATGCATATGAAACCAAAATGTAATACCTAATATATTTCCCCAGCCCAGAAGACAACTGGAGTTCTTTGTAGTCATGGAGCTGTTTGTGAAATCTGACTTCCTGATTTTTGAAAGCGAAATTTCATGACGAATTTTGCACCAAAAATAGCTCGTCAGGTTGTTGTTGTACACGTCCGGTTCATGGAGGCAGCACGTGTCAGCTGAATGGGAGACGAGAGGTCAGACATATGTAATCACCTGATTTCCAGCTGCAGCCGCATGTGACTCCCACTTCCGGCCCCCATAGGAACATAAAAATCTGGTCGGAGAAAAAGATACCCCGCGGGGTCGAACCTTTGTGACGTGTTTCATGGTCAAATCAAAGAGCTTTTTGAGCCAACTCCTCAATGCAGGGGCTAAAAAAAAAAGGGTTTGATGTGATGTGCTTCAAAAAAAAAAAACACCTTTGCCCTTAATTCCATACTTTG